GCTCGAAATCTTTGCCAAAAACAAAAACGTGGTGTCAATGTGTGGTTTGTGCACATAGAGTTGGAGAATAAATGGTTTTTAAATTTTTAAATGTGTTTCACATTTAATTTTTGAAATAATTTTGGATAAATAAAATCTTTAATTGCGGTAAGAAAAATCTCTTTTTAGTTTGACCTCGATTTCCCGTCGAATTCTGGCTTAAAGTTATCCACCAATCTTTGTAAATCGGCAACCGTTTTCTTACGTAAATAGTTAAATTGATTTATACATCTTCTAACGCTTCTAATAATTCATTGCAGTTGCATTGTAACAGCAGTCTCAGTAATGTAATATCATGAGCAATGACATATTCTTCTAAATCTTTTTTTCTCCCCAAATTACAACCGTAGTGACTGTGCTTGTACACTAACCTATTCGGTTGCGAGCTGTGATTTGCTCCATTATTTATGTTATAAATTCTTTTTATATGTAATTCAAAATTTTCTTCATTTTTATCGGCGTGGGTCGTGACTTATTTTGTGTATTTGAATTGTGTGGCAAAGGTCAGGTCCATTTGGAGTGGGGTGGCATTGAAGAATTTTTCATCATTTTTCTAGGTTGGGGCGCGCCGTGCGCGATTGCAGGTTTTGGGCGGTTGCAGATTTTGGGAAGGTTTTGCGCCTTGCAGATTGCAGTTTACAGAATTTTGCCAAGGTTGCACAGGTTGTGGTTTTGGCAAATTTTGGGCGAGTTTTGCAATTGTGAAATTTTGGCCAATTTTTGCGGATTGGAGAATTTTGCACAAGTTTTGCGGAATTTTGGGCGAGTTTTGCGGGTTTACGGAAATTTGCACGAGTTTTGAGGATTGTGTAATTTTGTGCGAGTTTTGAGTACTGTGGAGTTTACGGGTTTGCGGAATTTATTGCAAGTTTTGTGTATATTTAAAATTAGTGAAATGTTGTGAAATTTTGTTAAATTTACAGAATTAAAATTGAACAAAGTGCCGGGAAAAAATACTACAAAAAAACGACAAAATTGGTTTGGCTGGAAACTCCCCATTTACACTACTAGTTTATATTTCATTTGTATCTATTTTACTTGACTTTGTTCTTTTTGCCGCATGTGCAGTATTTCCTGTTCCTCTCTTTCTTTATTTCCAGTTCCTTCCATAGTTTTTGAGATGGCCAGGGGATTTGAATACATGATCAGCTCCATAGGCCTGTGCACAATTTTGTTTGGATAATGTTTTAATCCCCAGTTCCCCATAGTGTTTCCATTTTCTATCCCAGTTACAGTTGCACATGCATATTTGTCATAGGAAGGTTGGGGCAATATTCATAAATGGGGTGGAGGACCTTTTGAGAAGAAAATACAACAAAATTGCACAGTAGGTTTAGCATCACATAGTAGTGCTTGTACATGTACATTTTATTGCATGATAGATCATGTGATGCAGGCCATTGATCCATATTCATCCCATATATGTAGAGATTCAACTGGAAATCCCCGGGTGCTGATTGGTTCCTCCGGAAATCCGGAGGAAAGTAAAGAAAAAGTTAAACGGTTTGTGGGAGATTCCCAAGATGGTACATGTAGAACGAGCCGTTGATTGGTGAAATGAAGTCACGAGAGGGCGCATTAGAAATTGGCGCGAGCAGCATAGGCTCAATCGAGTTCAGTATTGAGTTCTGTCGTCTTGGCTCAACACTAACATGAATGCAGCTTTGACAATTTGAGGGGAGGGGGATTAGTTGGTTTACCTTCAAACTTTACTTTCTTTACTGAATAAGATTCCATGAGACTATCGAGCTTGTACATGTAGTTAACCATGTACATGTAATACCTGCCCCTAACCCTCCTAGAAAAAAAAACAAAGGTACATGAAATGTTCCCCATAGAAATTAATGTGCGAGTGGGAAGAGTCCCGTTTTCATACGTGATCCCATTCATTATCAGCAGCAAGTATTACATGGCCACAAGTGAAATTATCAATCTACAGATCTAGGGGGTCGAGGGATTGTGGGAGTCAAGGGTATCTGTGCTTCAACAGCTTTAACATGAAACCTTTTCATTGCGTTGTAGCATTTTTGCATGATGCTGGTGGACCTTTGTGGAAAGAGTATGGCAAATTGAATTAATTTGATGAGGTGCACAGAAGTTTCTAGAACTCCAAAAAAGCACAGCATCATGGCCGATCTTTATTACTGCTCTGCATAGCACTTGTATGTATCATCTTTTGATTGTATCTTTTTGATAGTTTGTACTATAAATGTTGTTGGTCATGTTGATGGCCATTTCTATAGACATCTTCACCAAATGATCAAGTTTCATCAAAGTGTTGGAAATCTACTTATTCTTGATACAAGCATTATTCGTTAAAACAGTCCAATGTAAACATGGCTTAAAGAGCCAACCCCCTTGCCATGGGCACCCAAAAACTTGACACACTTACCTGTACAGTACCCTTTCACAATTTTCACTTGACTGCATGCACAAAACCAGCAAGTGGGGTGTGCAATGTCCCACCTACTACATATACAAGTATGTCCAGTAAATGTATGAAATAGTAGGGTGAATCTATCTCAAGTCTATTATAGTAAGTCTGCAATTCCATTCACAGAAATATTGCATGAATGTTACCTTCCAGTTAAACCAGCAGCTTGGAGGGCTTCCTTGGCCAATACTTCAGCAGTAGCATCACTGTACCAAAACTGTGACAGACTCTAAAAACCAAAAAGTTGTATTTGGAGGAGTTACATGTATCTGCTTTTCTCTATAAATTCAATGGGATAGTCATGTACATGTACATGTATGTATTCCCTCTCCTTGACCAGAGGAGGATGTGCCATTTGTCAACCCCTCACCACACTTTCTGATGGTGACAAGTCAAAATGTGCATTATCGAACTTCTCAACGGACAACTAAAAACAAAACACACTATTGAATGTTTGATTAATGCATAAAAGTAAACATTTTTTTCATCAAATAAAATTGTCTGTTTCACAAATAAACCTACAGGAGGTTATGTAAAGTCAAGCACTTCCCTCACCCCCTTGAAATTCCATTGCCAAGCAATTTACTTTGTGGGAGGAAAATTTGACATGATTTAAAACTACTGAAAAGATTTGAAACTGCTTGTGTGCACAGATTGGAATTTCATGAATTTCAAAAGTTTGATGGGGAAAAATCAGTACACAAATATATACATACGAACAAAATATGAAAAGCTCACACTGGCTTTCTTTAGATGAGCTTTGCTTTTTCATGGTGAAAGCACCGGTACAGTACATGTAGCAAGTTAGTTACAAGTTGACAGTAGCACCATGCAACGAGGTACTCAACGTTTCGAAAAGTATGTTCTGTCCATTGTCAGAAGACTGCAGAGGTCACCATGGTGCTACCACAAACCTCTATAACTACATGTAGCATGCTGCCTTCACCATAAAAAGCTGAAACACTCATCTGAAATAGCTCTACAAGAAGCTCACCACCGCCAAGGTGAAGTTTTGGGAGCACTATTTCATCAAATGCTCCAAGTCAACAACCTGACCTTTATGAAACACTGCAGAGATTCCAATCTCATTCCTCCAGGCCGCCATCTCCATGACCCATGCAAAACCACGAATCCCATTCCAGCCTTCATAAAGCAAGCCTTGCTCTTCTCCTACATGTATGTAAGTACTGGTACCACTAGATTCACCCTTTCATAATTAGGCCAGTGAATTTGCATTACCTATATGTACATGTACTTGGTAGGAGCAGCTCCAATCATGCACCTCGGCAGCTGATTACAACACAATCCAACAGCTCACCCAACTTCCACTGACCATGCTGCCGCCGAGTCACAAAATTCCTCAAGATCTCCAAGCGTGTTACTGGGACCGCTTCTAGCAGAGTATCGACCCAGGCAATGGGATTACCTACACTGTACATGTACATGTGTATATCCCCATGCCTACAGCCCTCATGCCTAGACATACATGTACATGTACCTGTAGGATCTCCTACATGTATATGTATATTCCTACGTCCCAAATCTTAATGCCCGATGGAATTTTCTGTCCCCTCCAGTCAACATTGCACCAAATCTTACCCTCGCCCCTCGCTCTCAGGAATCTTTCACCAAGCACACCATAAAGTATGTTGCATTTGAAAGTTAACACTGCGAAAAGGAATGGGAAAAAAAGCGAAAGGAATTAACATTCGCATTCGCATTTTGACAACTTTTCCCCCCTGCGAATTCGCAGCAAATTCGCCGCGAATCGGATGCAAAAGGGTTGAACAATGTGCAAAAACAGTGCGAAAATCGTGCAAAAATGGTGCGAATCTTTTGTGAACACGGCGTGTCACATTTGCAAAAACATTGAGAAAAAAACAGTGTGCGAAAACAGGGTGAAAATTTTGCGAAAGTAGCTGCGATAGGTTCCAAAAATCATGCAGAAACTTGCAAAAACGAGAAGCATTGTGCAGCGAAAATGCTCAACACTTGCCACACGCACATGACTATTATGCAGTGAAGAGTCCATTACGCAGGCTGCGCTGCGCTTGGGGCCGGTCAGGCCAACTTACCACGTGGAGTGTGCTGTTGTAGTATAGTAGCGATTTTCTCGGTCGCGCCGTCCAGTCCATGCAGCGCGAACGCAGAGATGTGCTCACTACGGCGACCCGCGCTTACGTGGCGCAGCTGTTTTCTTGGATTACCATAGATAAACACTCATCAATGTCGGAGAATAAATGTTTAAAAAGTTGTCTGGATGTTGAGTGGTGATTATAAACGGGAGTCCCCAAGTTACGAAGTCACGAAGCACATAAAATGTGTGTATTACAATAAACTTAACTTGCTCGGCTGTGGCGACATGGGTTATTTGCCCACTTTTTATTTATTTTTGTGGTGTAGTTTGGCACACAAAAAATTAACAATGAAATACTACATGCAGTATTTTGTTATTGAAAGGTTTCTTACAATCGACGGATAAAAAAACTGCTTAAATTGTACGTGTATTTTCATGTAGCAAATCTCGTCTTTTCACCGATTGTGTTTGGTGTGACATATCGGGTCAGTTTTCACTTGGGTTTCTGAAGACATGTTACATTCTGTGGTCACATGGTTATTGGAAAAAGTCAGCGATTGGACTTTCCATGAATGGGCATGAAGTGGCAGTCAGGATGTCGCGGTAGGTGTAGATGCAGTGTGTGCTTGGTTATGCGGTGCGTGATGCAGCATACACGAGGTCCCGTGGCGGTTTTTAAAGAGATCTGGTGATTTTTTTTTGATCGGCGTCACGAAAATGTCGAGATAACCGGATACAAAGCATTTATTCCCAAATCATGGTACATACATTTGCCGATACATGTAAACGTAATTTACACACATGACAACATGTGGATACATGTTCATGTGCACATATGCAGTGCACATGTTGAGCATCCATCCAAGTGGGTTAAATTAATTTTTAAACGCTTATATCTTATAAGACACGTTAGAGAGCGCTATAATGGCAATCTACTGTAATTCAGCTGTTCGGTGTTCAGTGCTTGTCTCCAACCTCCACCATAGCCAGCTTTGATTTCTCCTGTTGCATTGTATTTTGCTCAAAACTGACAAACATACTGCGTTGAAATATTAATGCTGTCTACCTCAAGTAATCTGAATATTCCTGAGAATTGAAGAACGTTTCTCTCAGACTGATTTTCCTCCACTTTCCATATTCAGAGATGCGCATGTTTGAAACCTCAGAAAACAAAACTTTCTGATGTCTACATGTACATGTACAAATACAACTAAATGAAGAAAGCTTGCAAAATTATTTCCCCACAGAGAAAATCTGTGAAAATCTTTTCCCACTTGTGAGAAAAAGGGCGAAAATCTTTTCTCACTTGTGGGAAAATCTGTGAAAATCTTTTTCCACTTATGGGAAAATCTGTGAAAATCATTTCCCACTAGTGTGAAAAGGTGTGAAAATATTTTCCCACTTTTGGCATACTTTTTCACAATTTGTGAAATGAAAAGGAATTCCCTGGGAAGAGAAAAAAATGTGAAAAAATTTTCCCATTTTGGTGTTAACTTTCAATCGCAATGTACTGTACATGTAGTTAACCTGAGTCAATTTACCCTTTCTGCTGATGAAACAAAAGTTCTGTCACTGGGTATGAAATTGGCCCTAGTCCCTAAGCATTCAACAGTCAAAGAGGTCATCCAGTGCACTGAGCCAGCTCTCCACCATCTCAACACATCCTAAGCCAACAAGATCCGCCTACAAATCAACCAAGCCCTCCAGAAACACAACCAAGCCAAGCCCAACCTTTTAAGACAAGACTGGTCAGCCATCACATCACTATGCCAAGACAAGTCCGTCCATATCCTCCAACCACACAAGGGCAATGCCACAGTGGTCATGGGCAAATCCAAGTATGACCGCAAGGTAGCAGACATTCTCAAATCAGGCTGCAACCGTACACTTTGGAAAGACCCCATATTATCCAGGGAGAGGAAGCTGCAGCACAAGCTCCAATCCTTGCAATGTTCCGGCAACAGGCTCTGAACTGCTCCTTACCTGTATCAACCCATCAAGCTTCAGATGGCAGGATAAATTCTATGAACAAACAGCCATAACCTCCATGGGATCTCTTATTCATGGAAGAAGTCAAACAGACTGCCACTGTCATAGCAGATCACAGACCCAAGATTTGGATCTGTTATGTTGACAATACTTTGTCATCTGGCAGCATGGGCATGAAAACCTCCAACTTTTCCGGGAACACCTCAACAGGCTTCACAGCAGCAACCAGTTCACCATGGAACAAGAAAATAGATGACATCTCATTTCTTGACATCAAGGTTTCAAGAAAGCAGGATGGCAGTTTTATCCACAGACTCAGCACAGAGTCTAGAGAAAACCCACCCAGACAGACTGATACATGTACCTCCACAGCACTTCCTTCCATCACTCTTAAGATCAAGTCTTCAGTCAACCAGGTCCTTGTTCGCAGGCATATGTCTGCACAGGGAACATTTCACTCAAGAATACCATCACATGACAGCAGTGCTGCACTGGAATAGACACAAGCCAAGCCAAGTTAAGACACAAGACCCAAGATCCACCCTTGGCTGAAGGATCCCCTACATGTACACCCAAAGCCAACTACACTGTAGTTAGAGCCAATAGTTCTATCAACCTTCCCTACTTATGCACTACTTCCTATCACATCCAGCACATCCTCCACAAGCATGGTATTTGAGTGTACAATAAAGCACCCACGAAGACACGTAGCCTGCTGACCTCCCGCAAGGACCTGCCTAATCCACAGCACAAGCACGGATTGTACAAGATACATGTACTCTGCCAATGCAGTAAAGTGTACGTTGGCAAGACAGACAGGGACCTCCTTACCAGACTCAATGAACACAGAGCCCATGGCAAGAAAGGAGAAGTCGACAAGTCTGCCATCACAAAGCACTCTCACATCCAAGACCACCAGATCGAAAGGAGCCAAGCTAAACTCATCACCAGCACTGAACATTGGTACCATCGCTGCATCAGAGAATTAAGCCACCAAATCTTCAAACACGACAAAGTACTGCAAGATATTGGTTTCAATATCAGTAACATCTGGCATCCCATCTTCACATCCCAATCCAATGGGTCTCCTACACTCTAGGACATGTTCCTAGCCTATGAGTCTCCTATACCCCTTGGCAACCTTCCCTCACACTCCCCTCCAG